TATTTTCATTTTGACTCAGTTGTTTCAGTGTTGGTTCCCTTAATTCAAGTTGGCATTCGGTTTTTGGAATTTAAATAAGTTCTCAGCAAAAAGTTTGTTAAAAAAATATATATGTGTACATAGTGCTTGAAAATATCAATTTTTCCCTTACCTTAAACCTTTGGGAGTGGGCAAAAATTATGTTTTGTAATTTAGGCAGAATTGAATATGCGCTATCTGGGAAGACAATATCTACATGTAATATTTATTCTGTTTGTTGGCACTATATCCAAACACAAACGCATCTTAAGTGTCTTAACAGTGAAACGACTTCTTATTTTCTAAGTTTACGAATAAAACTTCACCCTTAAAATTAAGACATTTATAACAAATATTTTATAAAGAAAATCCCTTCTTCGTTTATAATAAAAATAAGCGAAATCGGCCTAATTTCATACAGCCCTGCCTGACATGAAAATTTTCTCCACGATAAGACTAGTAGCCTGTTCTAACTGATTTTGGGTCGCTTAGTCAAAAATGGAAACATATATACATATTTGAAATTTAAGAAAACAAGGCAAATAGCAAAATCGGCTAAAAACGGCTAATTTTTTTCTGCAAAACGGCTAACAAATCGGCTGCCGGCTAAATCGAAATTTCTCCGGCAGTTTGCTATCGCAACCGGCTAAATCTAGCCGGAAAACGGCTAAAATGGCAACACTGGTTGGGAGTAAATGGGCAATGATGCACACGGAAATAGTTGTCACGGAAACAATTCTTCTAATATATGTGCTATTAATTAACCAAAAACATGCTAATAAGGGGCTTAAGAATAGGACTGATATTAAGCTAAATACAGGAAGGAAAGTAAAGCTTAGTTCGTACATAGACGAAGAAAAGGTTAAAGGTAAAGGTAAAAATAAAAACTAAAACAAATATGCGTAAAGATAAAGGATAAAATGACGATCAAGGTTAATTTAAACACTATAAGGTAAAGGTGAAGGGGAATATGCAAAATTAAAGATAAATATGAAGAAAAATATTAGGATGCAAATTGATATCGATATTGCTATCGATATAATAATCGATATTGTTATCGATATAATAATGGATACTTCTATCAATACAACCGATATTGTTATCGATAAAATAATCGATATTCTTATCGATAATGTTATAAATATTGTTATCGGTGTAATAATCGATATTGTTGTCGATAATGTTATCGATATATTTAACAATAAATAAATCGACTTGGAATCGATATATTTTGCGATATATTTGTTAAGATTTTTATTGGTATTTTTATCGACAAAGTTATCGACAGCGTTATCGATTTAAAATTCGACACATGATATGTGATCACATTATATGATATCATATCACATCATATGATCTGATATGGCATCACATGACATGACATTACATAATATGATATCACATGGCATGACATCACATGATATGACATCATATGGTATGACATGACTTCACATGATATAACATCATATAACATGATATCACATGATTTGACATCAAATGATATCGCATTACATGGAAAAATATTTGTTTCTGTATCGATTAACATGGTTACTGAAAGCATGCGCATTGTTTTCTTTCAAAATTAAATTGTAAAATACTAACAAGCTATGGCTCTGATATTTCAGGCCCCTTAAAAAGCCTGGGCCCGGTGAGGATTCCCCCATTCTTACCCTCTCGACAGGTCTGGGTAGGGATAAAGATAAAAAAAAAGATAAAATATAACCTCGAGCTTATAAAATTATATTAACTACCCTGTCCTTTTATTCACAATTTCTAAATAAGTAACGTAAGTTCCACTTCTTCAATGTGGCCCAGGTGCACTTTTTTTCAATAGGTATTGAAATAAATTCTGCTATAAAAAATTTAGTTACCGAAATTTATGGAGTCATCAAAGTTTACAGTTATCGAAATTTATCGAGTTACCCATATTTCATAGAGTTAAACCAACGTGTAAAATTATTGAAATTGACCAATGTTAATTAAGTTGTCGAAATTTATAGACACAGGAAATTAGTTGTCGAAATTTGCGGATAGATATCGAGCTATAAAAATGTATGAGTTAGCGAAATTTATCAAGTTAATGAAATTCATCAAGTTATCGATATTTATTGTTGTGTTTAGGGATTTTAGTGTTCTTGAAATTCATTGAATTATCGATATGTATCAAATTATCGAAATTTATCGACAAACTGGAATGTATTGGTTATATTCCAAGTCCTGCCAACGACCTTCAAAGATATAAAAAATTTAAGTTAAGGTTTAGTTCGAAAGCAGGAGATTTTCCGGCAAGTAATTTGTGCATTATAAGTTAAAAGACGGGCTAAGTTAGAAAACCTCTCCAAGGGTCTTAAAAACTAGAAGAACGTTCGAGTTTCGACAGTGGCTGGCACTCTAGTTTTGCTTAAACTGCTTGATACATTTTCGCAAACAGCCCAAGATTTTGAAAACAGGGCCGTACAAGCTATGACAAAATAAAAATGTTATCAATATATTAAATAAAAGTCACGAAATTCGTTTAAATATTAATTTGCTGATTGTACATACACACAGTTGGGGGAATGTTTAGTTATTTTCCCACTGTTTTTGGGTTAGTGGGCGGAAAGGGAGAGGGTGTGGCTCTTGATATCCAACCCACTAGAAAGAGCACAGCTCCCAATTTGGAAAAGGTCACTTATGACCCTTCGAAACCCTCCACCGACTCCTGGGGAATTATTGGAAAATGGTTTAAAATTAGCATTTTGACACCGGAAATGTAAACTCGGTTAAAAGTTTTTGTTTTTTTGTGCAGAACACCTATAGGGACCTACTCAAACACATAAAAAATGTCATTAAAATCGTTTCGGTCGTTTAGGAGGTGTCCACCCACCAAAAAAAGCCTTTTACATACTGACACCCTTCGGCATTTTTGCCCATACAAAAAAAAAAAAACTATCACGCATTCGTTATACGGAGAAAATGCGCAACATCATCAGCGAAAAAAATTGTCAAAAATCAACGGTAACTTATATTGCCAGTTAAAACTTGCACTTTATGATACTGAAATTGAGTGAACGACAAAACTGCATACCCAAAATTTGGTGTCAATTGATGCAAAATGAACTATATTTCTATGAAATATTAACAAAAAAATTTATTATGAAAAAACAAACTGTATACATATATTTGGAAAGCGCCACGCCCCCTTTTCCAGTAGCCCCAAAATCTCTATTCCAATTTCCAGGACACTACTGCAAATATATCCAGAGATATACGCTATGAAAAATTCGATATGTATGGGTGATGCCACTCTCCCTTAATATATCGAAAGTCTACATTAGGTGGCCAAATTTCGGTACAGCCGTTCGCGAGATCACCTCTTATATAATGAGTGTCGGTAACACAGGGCAACACCCATTTTGATGCGGCAAATGATAAAGCTGTTTTTGATAGACTTTTTGTGCTGATTACGAATCCGTAAGTATAAAGTTTCCATGAGCTCCAGATTTGCTTTAATCTAAGCCTAAGTGGGAGGTTTTACCACCCCTTGTTTCTTTGCTAGAGCTTCTCAAATATTGCAAAAAACGCGATTTTTT